TTTCTTCCCTCNGGGTGGTGGTGAAGGTTTAACAGAATTCTTTAAATATGCGACAAGAGAAAATGGCAAGTCCTCACAAGTCAAAGCAAAGCAAGGAACTGTGGCGGTATTGCAGTGCAATCTCAAAAGCCGAGTCTTCTGATTTCATTGAAAATTACTCCCATTTAAACATGTACAAGATTGGATTTCAATGCGTTTTCTTGCTTTTTCTCATTATGCTGGTCCATAAGTCTAATTTTAGTAGGCCAAAGGAAATCCAGTTCCAAGTACTCATTTCTGCATATTGCCAGAGGTATAAAGAATGCAAACAAATGATGGTAAATGTAAATAAGCCCAGTTTTTAAAAAAATCCTCTCTCTCTCTCTCTCTCTCTCTCTCTCTCTCTTCCCCCCTTCCCCTCCTCTCATTGTTTGCTAATTTAGGTTAACAAAAATAACTATAAATAACATTTCATTACTAGCATGTTGATAACTATTTTGCATTCCTGAAATGCAATGTAGTTATCAATATGCTAGTAATGAAATGTTATTTGTCGTTCCAGTCTTCCATAATTCACTGAATTTGGTGACTCTGGTCATTATGGTTATTGATGTCAATCATATCCTATTAATACTGCCCTGGAAGAAGTACACTTTCCTTCTGGGAATACAGAACTTGTCTACTGGCCTGAGACTATTCCATCTTCCCATTTTAAACACTCTTTGCTCCATCATGGTTTTGTCATCTATAAGTCACAACATAGAAAAGGCCAAGGATCCCTGATGAAGATGATAGGGATACCATATATTAAACATTACTGAGAAATTACATTAATATTTAGGAATTTACTATAAATTGCATTTCATGAATTTAGTATAAGTAGAACTGTACATGCTTTGCAAATATTGGGGAGAAGTGCCTTGGATCTTACATGAACATGGACCTCTCTGCTGAGAATCAACTCATTTGAGAGGTACTTAAAGCAGTGGCATCTATTATTTGGCTCACTCAGAAGAAGACAAAGCTGCTTTAATGAATAGCTCATGCATGATCGGAAGTACTTCTGAACCCTTTTGGAGGGATGCGCGGCTCTAATTGTAATCACCAATGCTCATTCTGTGATTTAATGCTCTGAAGAGCAGCTCATAGCACTGGGCGTAAGAATGATGCTCTTTAAAATACAAAAGAACTGGATATATCCTATAGAAGTGAGACAAGTGTACTCCCACTGAAAAGGAAAACAAAGCTTTGAATCACATGGAGCGAATCCAATCGTGCTGCAGATTTTGCAAATGGCTATTGAAGGATGACGCAAGAAGGAAACAGCTTCAAGCCAAGGCAAGGCAAACCTGATCTTTAACGAGAGTGAGATGCCCAACTCCAGCACTAATTGTGGAGGCAAGAAAGGACAGCAAATTATTAGTTATTTGGATTATTATTAGCATCATTGCAATCATCTTATTTTCATTGCCAGAGGAAGAAACTTTTCTGAGGGAAGTTCTCTTTCAGGTTCCAGAAATGACCACCCAGCCATGAGTATGGTGACCTTTGAGTGGGATCCATGGATTTTCCATTGTTCCTCAGGTGATTGTGGGTAGCCACTGTACTAATTTTGCCTCTGTCAAATAGTGACAACCCATTTTTTAAAAACAGCTGTTTTTTAACAAGTTGGCCACCTGCAACATTTGTCCAGATGCTGAACTCTACTATGAATGTACACCGCCTATGTTCGGACTTAAGCATAGTACACAAAATTATCCACTACAATGTCGTACCAGTCAGTGACAACTTCAGCCTTCAACCACAATAATACAAGAGCACACAACAGATACAAACTCAATGTAAACCGCTCCAAACTCGATTGCAGAAAATATGACTTCAGCAACAGAGTGGTCAATGCCTGGAATGCACTACATTGTGCATTCTTGTTACATCTTCAAATCCCCAAAACTTTAACCTTAAACTGTCTACTACTGATCTCACCCCATTCCTAAGAGATCTGTAAGAGGCGTACATAAGCGCACCATCGTGCCTACCCTCCCTGTCCTACTGTCCCCATTTATTCGTCCCTATTTCATTCATACTCACATTTATTCTTATACCTATTATCTTGTAAACAATTGACAAATCAAATAAAAAAAAATATGGTCGAGGTTCACAGAACTCTGCTATGGTTTGTGCTACAGTACATTTATAACTTGAAAGAGGAATGAGTTCTT